TTTTTGGTCCGGGGATTGAACTCAGGACCTTGTGCTTGTGAGGCAGGCACGGTGCCACTGAGCTAAATCCCCAGCCAAGGAGCCTGACTTTTAAGAAAGGTCATCCAGCTCAGGGTTCTAAACAGAGTGGAAGCTGGATGAAGGTACGGGTTTTCCCCTAGGCTGTGGAGGCTGGAGCCTCTTGCTTCTGGGCTGGGCATGCTCAACTGTTCCTCCCCATTTGTAGCCAACACCTCCAAGCAAAGCTCCACTGTTGAGGTGCCAGGAGGAAGCCCTGCTCTGTGTCAGGCCACTGTGAACAATCTTTCCCTTGTCGTTTTTATCTCCACTGCTTTTGTCACATCACTTTATTCATCTCCCTGGTGAAAAAATACTGCTCTCCAGAAAGACCATTTTTATTGTTGCCTGCTCAGTTCAGTTTTTCATAGCGACCTAGAAAAAAGGTTGGGGGATTCTTCACCAACCCACAGATCTTCATCACAAATTTTACACAGGAAATTTTCACACCAACCAGTTATGACTAGGATACGACTGGTCTGGATTATATAACGTTTTTAAAAGATAAGTTGTGTTATTATTTTCTTGGTCATGTATAATTACATTGGGATCTAATGTAATAAGAGTTAATAACTTGTAATTGGTGTTTTATGACATGTGAAAAATTATTCTGAAGTGCTCATACTATTAATGTTTATACTTGTTTCTTGGTCCCTTGTTTTCATAATGCAAACATAAATGAAATTCAGTTTAAGACTGAATTTTTATGAAAAGTTCTTCGAGTCTATAAACAGTTTTAGTCCTGGACCCTGTGAATCTGTGGAAACAAACTTCTGGCCAACAACACTGGATGCAGGGCCACTCCCCTTTGCAAGCTCTCCATGAGGTTGGACGTTGTGGCATCCCAAGAAATGAAGCAAAATTAAAAAAAAAAAAAAAAAAAAAAAAAGATACCAAAAGCTGTTGTTCCTGGAGGTAAGGGGTGCAAAAGAAAGACTCGAGATTTGAGAGCCTGACAACCTATAGTGCCCCTTTCAGTTCTCACAAAAGTATGATACACGTTTTACCAACGAGGCGATTCCCCCAGCACAGGCAATTCTAAGCATTTGCCCAAGGATGCTTTCCAAAGCTAGAGGCCACAGCCTGCCTACCTGAAGGGCTCCGCTCCCAGGTGCCTGACTGGCCCTGTTGCCGGGGTTACCGGGCCCGCCCCGTCTCGTGACCCGCGCCCTGAAGGACGCTGGGAGGTGCGCCCCCTCCCCGGGTTAATTGTCAGTTAATTGTCAGCAGCGGGTGGATTGTAAATGGGCTGGGCCGCCTGGCCTGGTGCTTCTCCCTGGGGCCAGGCCCGCGGGTGGCGCACAGCAACAGCGGCACAAACTCTCCTTCACCCACTCAGACGTTCCCGCTCCTCAGAATCACTTTCTCTCACTTAGACACACACTTAGCCCTTGGCAAGCGAAGTGGAACCTCGGGTCCTTGTTAGACCTCAGTGTTTAAGCTGCTGAAACACAGGGCATATTTGGTTTAGATATTTTACTGTTAGGAAAATCAACCACCTCCTTCAGTTACACCAGCTCAGATTTAACCTCGATAGGGCCAGGGTAGATTATCTCTTGGAGGAAAAAAGTTTACTTAGAAAGGAATATAAAATTCTAACTCCTGCTTCTCGAGGTTGGGGTGGAGGGAGCTGGGGCAAGAAGTAGAGAAGAGTAAAAGTATAGTAGGGCCTAAGAAACATCTGTCAGAATGCTCTGTTGAGAACCATGGCTGGGTTTTTCTCAATGCTGTTTCTCAGTCCTGGCGCACTCCCTCAGCTGCCCTAGGGTGGAGGCTGACCGTGGGGAAAGCGCCCGTAGAGAGATTCTGCATTGCCACCTACTCCATAAGAAAAGCCTGCCGGGAGATGTGTCCGGGAGCTGGATGATTAAGTTAAAACCACGTGGGTAAGCTACACCCTTCCGGTCCCAAGGTTAGCCAGTCCAAACTGCTTTTTAGGCATAGTGCCAGTTGTTACAAGGTGGCTCTAGGAAGCGTTTAGGCAGCCCGTGGGGAGAGAACACTTTCTGTACCTCCCATGATGAAATAAGACATCAAGTTGACCTTTCTCTTGGGAGAGAAGTTGCCCTGCTCAACAGTTCTGACGCGTTTTCTTCCCCCTATTTTCTGACATTTTCTCTGGTCTCAGGCAACATTTCCTGCCTTTTTTGGTCCTTCTGTGGGTGTGCACTGGTGTTAGGAGGAGGAGGAGGAATCCTGGAAGGGGGCAGGAAATGGCTGTGTGGAGTTAGAAGGATTCATCACTGTGTGGAGCCCTCTCATCACAATGGGGAGGTTAATGAGTGCCCAGGTTCTCTTCATACTCCATGGAAAGCAGTGCTGGGGACCATCTCCCTTCCCTCCGTGCTGTGCTGACCGTTTATTGAGCCCATTTGGACCTCTGAGGTGCATGCTTTGAGGTTCTTGGAGAAAATGAGGACTTTGAAGTAGGGCTTTTAGCAAGAAGTTAGAACACACAGGGCCTTACAGGAATCCTGTTGGGGTTTCACTCTGTTCTGTACAAATGACTCTTCTTCCAGAAGTGGGGGAGTCCTGGGCCCAGATGGTAGAGTTTCACTGTTGCTCAGGACGATGCTGTGTGGTGGCTTCTGATCAGTGTGTGAAGTGTTGGAAGGTCTTGGAGGCGTGTTTGTGAACTAGCAGTGTCATTGGGCTGCTGGGATGGGGTAAGGTTTTGTCTGTGACCTTGTGCACAGAACAGCTTTCAGACTGCCTGCTTGCTGGTTTCTCCTTGCAGGGCTTTTCAAAGCCCTATGCAATCTGAAATCAACGTCAAAAGGGAAAGCTGCAAGTAATGGCAAACTCACAGGCTTGCCAAGCTAGTGAATTTCTTCAAAGATTATAAGCATTTCTTTTGCACCCTTTTTCTCCCTTGCTTGAATTGCCTAGGCCAGTGGCGGTGAACCTGTGGTATGAATGCCACAGCCAGCTGTTAGTTGTTATTGAAAGCTCTGAAAGGCTCTTGCTCTGTTCAGGGTGACTGGGTTCAGAAGATGGTGTTGCACTGTCAGGCAGTGCAGCCTAGAGGAAGAAGAAGCATGCTCTGTATTCAAAGCTGATTTCTAACCCCAGCCTGGCTAGGAGGAATGTTTTAGGCACGATACTTCTCTTTTGTGAAAGTGCTTCCTGCATTAGATTTATGTGGGGACTGAGTAATGTAAGTAAAGTCCCTTGCATATCTGGTACATGGTCTTTACTTATGTATTGTTATTACTTTGGCTAAGGAGGCTGTGCCACAGTAGGTGCTGTGGAGAACAGCTCAGGAAGAACTATTATGGCAAACGTTTATTGAGTGTTTAACATATGCCAGGCATTGTTCTGAATGCTTTAAATAATTTGCCTTATTTAATCCTTAGAGTGGCCTGGGAAGGAAGTGCAGTTAGTGTATCGATTTTACCGATGAGGAAACAATTGCAGAGAGGTTATGTAAGTGCTCAGGTGCCAGAGAAACTTCCTTTGTGAGCACAGGCTACCAGGCTAGGCTCTCTAGCATAGGAGCCTGAGTCGAGCTGTCACGTAGCGTGGCAGCAGGCAGCAGCACGCCTGGGGTGCGAGACCCTTGGAGATCATCTGCTGTCTACAGCCTGAGTGGTCTCCGTGCTGCCTTGCCTGCTTCCTTCCTCTGCTGTGGCGCTGCTAGGAGCAGAAGGCCACTGCCTTTGGTCTTCCTACCAGCTGAACAAATGGCCTACTGAGGATTCTCCTGGTCTGAGGTCTTTTCTTCCTGTTGGCCTGGTATAGGCCCTTATTGTCAGCATATTAGAGAGCCAGGGCTTCTTTCTCATGGGAGGTGGTAGGGGTGCATGGAGGCCGTGTAGAATTCGAGGAACCCCAGGAAACTTAAGGCATTGTTCCTTACCCAAGGACCTTTCCTCCGTCCCTCCCAGCAGATGAGACTGGTTGGATTCTGGTTTTCTAGCTCCTTCTTGAGCTTCGGAGCTTAGCCTTCTCAATTGTAAGCAGTAGGTACCATAAGCTGGGAAGTGTACCAGCCTGAGAGGTGAGCAGGGGAGCAGACGTGGCCCTGCTTGAGGCTTGTCTAGGCGACCCAGTAGTCTGTGCAGGGAGGGGGTGCTCTGTGTGGGGTGCCACTTCCCATGGTCCTCTGGCTGCTGTGAACTCAGTCAGTAGCTGCCTGATTTAGGGGTGTCTCCACTCCCTGAAAGTCTCCCATTCTTCTCCAGCCTCTGATGATTTAGTAGTGATCCATTCCTCTGTAGGTGAACAATACTTGTCACCTGTGGCTGTCTTTTCCAGAAATGAGTTAGCAGGGCCCTGTCCTGAGCCTGAGGGGAGGCAGAAGAGCATGTGGAGGCACACAGTTCCCAGCTCTGAAGTTCCGAGAGGCTGCTCCACCTCCGATGGCCCCAACTCTCAGAGAGGTTTCTCAACACCAGTGGTCGTACCCCTATTCCCATCTTCTAGCTGCTCGGGTCAATCTTGTGCGTTCCAGAAGTGAACTGCTGCTTCAGGAATCTTAAGGAGGCAGTGACCTTTCTAATCTTTCACGTCAACAGAAATTTCCTGAACAGTGTTCTGTGACAGGCATGGTGCTAGGTGCTGTGGAAATAAAGATAAATCCAACGGAACTTCTGCCCTTAAGAAACTGTCCAATTTGGGTGATTTCCTTGGGTCCCTTGACAGATGCACCCATGATATTTAGGGGACAGAAAACAAGATTCAAACCGGTTGGGCAGACAAATCAAAACTGCCTTTCAGCCCGAGGCTCAGTCTGCCTCTGGGGCTGTGTCACATCGTCTGACTGGATGGCACAGAGCAAGGGGCCTTGTCTTTGGTCTGGTGTCTCTGGGCCTGTTGACTCTTGGGTACTCCTTCTACATATGAAATCACATCTGCCAGGCAGGGCCAGAAAACTGGCATTTCTGGGACCGCTGTTATGTGGACAGATCTGGGCTCTGTGCCGAAAACCAGCAAATGCTCTCTGACAGTAATACCAATTGGGGCAGGTTGCCAGTATCTTCACCTGGGATCATCGCCCGTCCCTGGCTCCCCAGTCATGGTGAGGGAGTTGGACCTAAATTCTCATCCAAGATCTTAACTGCACGCAGTCCAGCTGACGTGAGCTGTGCTTTCACTCCCTTGGCCCTCGGTGGAGTTGGCCAGCCATTGTTTGCAGAGTTGGAGAATCAGCCAGAGAGATCCCTCACCTGCTGCTAGCCACCATCCCACTGTTCTGGGGAATGGGAAAAGAGGAAAGAGGTCCCCTCATTGCTGATGTGCAGCTATGTCTGCCTCAGAATGCTCTCTTGTCTGCGAGGAGATACCATTTCCCATGTTTTCTGTGATATGTTTTTGTGGTCTTTTCAGATTTGCTTATTGGATGAAGGAAAGAGGAAAACCTTAACATTTCTGGAATATTTGCCAGACACTGTACTATGCTCTTAAATGTGTCTTAATTATTCCTCATAGCAACTATTACTGCTTTCATCTTTTGGACAAAGAAACAATTCAGAAAGGTTAACTAAGTGGTATCGGGCACATTGGATTTCTCCTTGGACCTCCCACCTTGTAGGTGATGCTTGCCTGTCATGAGTCTGGTTTTGTGGACGGTGCTGTGTTGTACTCAGACCCTGACATCTCCATATTAAAGTGAATCAGGTTGGTGGGTGGGTGGGTAGCTGTGTTGATTTGTTCCCAGGAGGCCTGGATTAATGAGCGTTGTTGTTGTGCTTGTTTTGGTGAGGGACACTGTACCTGTCCTCCTGTATGAAGCTGACACGGGTGTGATCTGTGCCCCTGTGGTTTTCCTGGCAGTGGAACGGGTTGTGCCAAGCTCCCTTTTCCCCAGCAGGGTGTGATGGGGGAGACTCAGGCCTCAGTGGGAGTCTTGAGCACCTCCACTCTGGAGTAGTGTCTTGGCTGAGTTGCTGGGATGAGACACTTGAAACTGTTCAGAGCCCTGGCCAGATATGAAGCTAAGGTGCGATTCATTTATTTGTTCATTGCTACAGCCAGCTGTGAACCCCCCAGAGAAAGTCAGCCACCTTGGCTGTCACTTTATCTTCCAAGGTGCCCTAAGAAAAGACAGCAGCATCTGATACCGCTCCAGGATAGTGATGCTCCACATGGTGTCTCAGGAAAATGGTATCCCCTGGGCCAGGCCTGTGCCCTTTGCTCTTTAAGCAGTGGCCTTATCAGAGGCCGAAACTTGTGTTCTAGATGGTAAAATATAGTTCCTTCTACCTATTGTGTTGTGTGGTATGACTAATATTAGCTACCAGTGAGTACTTCCTGTGTGCCAGGCACTGTGTGTGTACAACTTAACAATTGTATATGTACATACAATTTCACTCCCATTTAATCTCATTCCCCAAACCACAAGGTAGATATTATTGCCCAGTCTGACAGATACGGTAACTAAGGCTCAGAGAAATTAAACAGTTGACCCAGATTCACACAGCTAGCAATGGGTAGAGCCAGGATTTTCACAGTGTGCGGGACTCCTGAGGTTTCCGGGTGGGGGCGTTAATGGATGGGCAGTGCGCTGAGCTGAGGGTCCTGGGTGCGGAGCGGAAGGAATGCTGGGTGCGGGGAGCCCTGTTTTCCTTCTGCGCCTCTCCATGTCCTGTCCCTTTCCTCTCTCCTCCCCTTTTCCTCTTTTCCGTAGGGCTTCACAGTGGTCTGTGGCCCCTGCCTGGTTTCTCCGCTTCCCTCCTTTGCTTCTCCCCCATTTCTTCCGCCTCCTTCCTTTCCCTTTCTCTGTCCTAGCATCTGTCTTCTAAGTCTGGCATTGGCCTGTCTCTTGCTGTTGCCACCCCCAGAGGGACCGGGGCACAGTGGGACAGAGGCGGTTCTGTTGGGGGTGAGGCCCCCCTTGGGTTTGGGGTGAGAAGACAGTGGGAGCTGCTGGGTGGCGTCCTGGGCTAAAGGTGAGAGAGGCAGGGTGGATTCCTCCATCAGAGCACGAGACCAGTTGTGTCTGCGGAGTCAGACAGAACT